TCATTACCATTTTCCCTTTCTTGGCTTAATAACCAATTTTTTTTAAGGGTGACATAATTTATTTTATTTTTTTAATATATATATTTTTATTGGTTATGAATATTCATGAAATACAAAGCTGATCGTTACCACTCAGGCCCAAGATGTGAAGGCCAGATTCATGCTGGCGGCATACCTATTACCAGAAATAGCATTTGTATCCCATGTCCCCCACCCAGTTCGCCCCAACCTCCCTCCCCCTCTTCCACCCACACCACCCTGTAGCCCAGGAATGTTCTCTCCCTCTGCAAGTCCAGCACACCTCTGTGGTCTTTCCTTCCCTCCATCTTTCTCTCTTAGCTCCCACATGACTGAGCACATGTGGTATTTATCCCTCTATGCTTTGCTTATTTCACTCAATGTAAGTTTCTCCAGGTTCATCCATGTTGTTGCAAATGGGAGAATTTCATTCTTTTTTATGACTGAGTAGTACTCCATCGTGTCTATACACCACAGTTTCCTTATCCAGTCATCCATCGATGGACACTTAGGTTGGTTCCACATCTTGGCTATTGTAAACAGAACTGCAATGAACATGGGAGTGCAGTTATCCCTTCGACATGATGATTTCCATTCCTCTGGGTATATACTCAGATGTGAGATTGCTGGATCGTATGGAAGATTTATCTGTAGTTGTTTGAGAAACCTCCATAATGTTTTCCATAGTGGTTGTACTAATTTACAGTCCCACCAACAGTGCAGGAGTGTTCCCTTCTCTCCACAGCCTCGCCAGCATTTATTCACCGTCTTTTTGATTATAGCCAGTCTAACAGTGGTGAGGTGGTATCTCAATGTAGTTTTAATTTGCATTTCCCTGATGACTAGTGATGTTGAGCATTTTTTCATGTACCAATAACCAATTCTAAATTCCAATTTAATTAATTGGTTAATCAAATTAATTTAAATTAATGGTTAATTTCAATAACCAATTCTAAAGTCCCCTCTTCTCTCCAAAGATCTATTGCCTCAGATCCCCTATGACTATCAGTATTTATTCTTTGATTGAAAACCACAGAAACCAACTTAAGTGGTTAACTTGAGTGAAAAAAAATTTATTGGAAGGCCCCTGGGTAGCTGACAGAATCAAAGAGCGTGCTGAAAAACCGTACCTTGGAAGCTTCCGGTTTCTGTTCCACATGTAAGGAACTTGGAAGTTGCTGCTCCCTTCTAACAACAAGTAAACAGCTGAACTGAAAAACCAACAGCTCCTCTTAGATCTGTCGGAGAGGCGAGGTCACAGGGCAAACCGCTATGCAGAGAATCACAACACACTGGAGCAGAAAGCTCCTTAGGAACCCGTGCTGGGTGGGAACCCCTGAACCGTAACTGCCTGATTGCTGGAGGCTCGGTGTGGATGAGTCTGCGAGTTAAAGACTCCAGGGGCATCCAGCCATAGGAGAGCCCCCACGCTGTTGTGAGTTTTGTCTCCAGGAGGCTCACTCAGGTTCTCATCGTAAATATTGGAGGAAAATTCTCTTATGCTTCTGGCAGGTGGAGAAGAAAAGGAACCATTTTGAAATATGCCAGAGCACTCTGTTCTCCTTAACAAGGGAAAACTAGTTAACCAGGGGCTAACCAGCTGGGGTTTTATTTGAGCCTACCTGACCTGGGAGGAGGGTAATACCCAATTCCAGCTTACTCTTGCCATCCTGTCCTAACTAAGGGGGGACGGAGTGGGAGTGGGAGTGGGAGTGAGAGGAAAAAACTGAGAAACACTGTGAACTGCAGGGTGTAGAGGCCGTATGAAAGGACTTCAGAATGCTTCCCCTCCCCTGCACCTTACCATCACATTTGTAATGGCTTATTTACAGCAGTTCCTTTTACCCAGTGTGCAATGTTCAGCTCTCAAGAAAAAATTGCAAGGCATACTACAAGGTGTAAAGCTATGGCGACTATGCCAGTTGTCATGTTACAGCAATAGCCATGCCAGTTATGTGGCTAGGGAATTCATAACTAAAGCCAAAATCTTTCATTATTTTACTTATACTGTTTCCATTTGTATTGTCAGGGCTAGGGTGTAGGGCCCACAGACCCTTCAAACCGATTGTACAGACTGGGTCACAGACCCTTCACATGCCAGGCTGGGTCACCAGGCCCCTCATACACAGGTCCACACTAGGTAATTGGGAGAGATCCCAGGAGCCATTGACAAAAGACACAAGCTCAGTCCTCAGCAATGGCAGCAGCAGCTTACAGGTTCAGCAGCTAACAGGTCTGGCGGCGGTGGCATACTCTTGGGGCATCCTGGGGACACTGGCAGTAACAGCTTGCAGCAATAGCCTCCAACAGCAGTAGCGATCTCCCTGTGGTACCCCGACCCCCTGCCGGGAGCATGGGGGGTGCACCATGGATCAGAGCCACTCTTCCTTTATACCTAAGTCCATAACCCAAGACACCTAGGCGCACATACACAACTACATTAGACAACCAAGGAACACGTGGGCGCATGTGCATATTAACATCAAATGCTCGGCAAGATTCTGAACATCTGAGGGACCCTGACCATTTTTCTATATTTTCCCTACAATATTCTAGGGGTTCCAGTGGATAAAGTAGATGATAATGTGTAGGAACGGATGGGCAATGTAAGCAGAGATGGAAATGCTAAGAAAGAAATGAAGAAAATGCTGGAGATCAAAAACACTAACAGAAGTGAAGAATGTCTTTGGGCTTACTAGTAGATGGGACATGGCTGAGGAAGAATCTCTGAGTTTGAGGGTATCTCAGTAGAATCCACCAAAACTGAAAAGCAGAGAACAAAGGCTGTAAAAAAACAACAATATCCAAGGACTGGGACAACTACAGAAGGTGTAAATGCACGTAATGGGAATACCAGGAGTAAAAGAAAGACAAGAAATATTTGAAATGGTAATGTCTGAGAATTTCCCAGTTAATGTCAGAAACCAAACCACTGATCCAAGAAGCTCAAAGAGTACTAAGGGGGATAAAAATCCAGAAAACCACACCTAAGCATGTTATTTTCAAAGTATAGAAAGTGAAAGATAAAGAAAAAAAATCCTGAAAGAAGCCTAAGGGAAAAAGCACTCTACCTGTAGAGGGGCAAAGAATTACATCCAGCTTCTCCTTAGAAACCACGCAAGCAAGAGAGCGGAGCGAAATATTTAAAGTGTTGAGAGAAAAACCCTACCTTACTAAGGACTCGAACAAGGGTAGCTCCTCTGATCTAGACTGAGAGAGCCTTTAAGTAACTCAATTCCACCCTCATCTCAAGATTCAAATCCCAGCAGAGTCTGATGTGCCCATCACGAGCCATCATCCCGCACTCTGGCTGGTGGCACAGGGCACTTTGATTAACAGACCACCCAAGACCTGATAGAGTGGAGGAAAGGTACTTTCCCAAAGGAACAGGGTATGGTAACCAAAAGAAGGGAGGAGGATGCTAAACAGACAACACCGACTGATGACCATCTGGGAGAGTTCAGTGTAGATCAGCAGGGGCGTCACTGGCCTCTGGGGGAGACCATTTTCCTCTCTGAGCTGCAGCCCCAGTGCGTTGCAGTGTGCTCAGCACCCCTGGCTCCCAGCACCACATGCTGCCATCACAGCCAACGTGCCACTGTTTCCCCACCATGCACGCATGGAGACTGTGCAAGAGAGTGTTCAGGATGCTGTGCTGCAGGATCCCCATGCCTGTTTCCATTTCAACCAATCAGTCACATTCCCTTTGCTAAGCAGGTTGTTTGCAATTTTGTTATCATAAAGCAATGTTTCTTGTCTTTTTTTTTTTTTTATCAAAAAGTTCTTTAGTTTACTGTTCCTAAATATCTAAACTGACCTGCTTCTACTGCCATAGAAATACATATAAAATTCATCAATTTGTTTACAGACTTTAGAGCCAGGCCTGGATTCAAGTGCCACAGTCATAGGTCTGCCTGCTGTGTACTAGCAGTTACTTCCTTTGGATTTTTTACATAATCTTACTTTGGGCAATTACGTAGTTTCTCCGCCTCTCTAAAATGGGGATAATAATAGTACCCACTTCATAGGGTTGCTGTGATGATTATGCATATAGCATTTAATGTATTGCCAAGATCATAGTAAGTGCGTGCATATATAAACTATTGTTGTTATATTTATAAATTTCACACAAGTAACATAAAAATACTTAATTTTTCTTTTTGGGGGGAGTTACCTTTAAACATTAAATTGCTTTATCTAGAGAAGCATTTTGCTATGGCATTTCACTTAGAACTGTACTTTGAAAAGTAACAGTGAATTATTCATTCCTCATTCAATATTATTGAGGGTTTGCCAGGAATGTACTAAGTTCTAGGAAGACAGGGAATTTACATACCCATGGAGGAAGCAGTAACTAAGAGAACAAATAAATGCCCAGAGCAGTACTGATGAGGTAAGAGCTGTGAAGGAATCAGCAGAAAGACCTGGAAGCAGGGAAGAGCTTGGTGTGTTCGTGGAGCCAGTGAGAGGCCTGGACTGGACCATGGAGAGAGGAATTGAGGGAGGTCGGTGGGGGTGCTGGAGCCATGTTTTGCAGGGCCTGATTCAGGACTCCAGTAAGGAGCTGGGGCTTTTCTACAGGAGTGTGGATTTCTTTCCAAGGAAGCTGTTGAAGAGGGGTTCTGAGCAGGGGAGTGTGCTGAGTTTGATTTGCATTTGTGGAAGTTGTTTCTGTTCAGCGTGTAGAGAAAGTGAATTAGAGGGGCAGGTGGGGCGTGGTAGAAGACCAGTGGCACAAGACCAGTGGCACGCTCTCGGGGCTGGGCTGGGGTGGTGGCAGTGGAGTGAAGGGAAGCGGGTGTGGTCAAGTCAGATCACGTGTGCTTATTTTGGAGGTGGAATTGACAAGTGTTGGTGATGGCTTAGGTGAGCAGGACGATGAGTCAGGGACAATATCCAGATTTTTGGCTACTAAGCGCCATTTCGACAGTATGCATATAATCCCTTTATTATTGACCTTTTTTTTTTCCATTTTGGCATGATTCTTCTCAAAACTGTAAATTTTTAAGTGTCATCTTAAAACTTTCATCTTCTTGGTTTTAGATTATTTTTGCATTGCAGGCAAATTGTACAGTCTTAAATTTTCTCTTGTTTTCCTTTTTAGTATGGAAACCTCCTTTGTTGATATTTTTGGTACTGAATTGCGATTGTTTTACCTGTTAATTACTGTTACTGAAGATTTAAACTCACGTTAATTAGCACTGGCAGAGCAGTCTTTTGAAATGAAGTCTCCTGGCATCCTCCCTGCCCCAGGGAAAGGTGAGAGTCTTTGAGGACCGCACCTGTCCAGAAGCAGCTGTCCCTCCTCTGCCCGCAGTTTCCCACGGGGCGGTGGAGAGGCACGGGATGGGAGGGGCACCTGGGGTTTCCGGGTCCACCTCTGCCTGAGGCACACACTCCTTATAACATGGACTTCAGGCGCAGTAAGCCAAACTTAGGACATTTTATTTTCTGTCACTTAGGACTAGTATGCTTCTCAATGATTGTAATTTATTATATTTTACTAAAATGTGGTTGCTTCTTGTGAATGAATTGAGATCAAGTATATAAAGCAGTTTTAAATTAAACTAAGCAGATTGTTTAAGTTGATGCATGTGGAATAAATTAACTTTTTTCTAAGAAATGAAGAGAAACTGGGAAGAAAATTCATTAGACAGTGATCCATAAAGGTTTTTTTTTTCCACACCTAGATGAGAAGCCAGAAATGCATATAAAACATAAGAACTTCAAAAACATTTCTTAGGCACAGACTATTATTAAACACTTGTGGATGTTTTTGATTTTCTGTTACATTAAAATACTCAAATGGGGCCGGCCCGGTGGCGCACTGCTACAGTGCACCGCTTGGGAGCGCAGTGGCGCTCCCGCCGAGGGTTCGGATCCCACATGCAGACCGGTTCNTGAATGAATTGAGATCAAGTATATAAAGCAGTTTTAAATTAAACTAAGCAGATTGTTTAAGTTGATGCATGTGGAATAAATTAACTTTTTTCTAAGAAATGAAGAGAAACTGGGAAGAAAATTCATTAGACAGTGATCCATAAAGGTTTTTTTTTTCCACACCTAGATGAGAAGCCAGAAATGCATATAAAACATAAGAACTTCAAAAACATTTCTTAGGCACAGACTATTATTAAACACTTGTGGATGTTTTTGATTTTCCGTTACATTAAAATACTCAAATGGGGCCGGCCCGGTGGCGCACTGCTACAGTGCACCGCTTGGGAGCGCAGTGGCGCTCCCGCCGAGGGTTCGGATCCCACATGCAGACCGGTTCCCGCTCACTGGCTGAGCGAGGTGTGGGAGCAACACCGAGGGTTGCGATCCCGTTGCCGGTCCCGGTCCGGTACGGTATGGGCGCGACACTGAGGGTTGCGATCCGTTGCCGGACACGAAAAAAAAAAAAATACTCAAATGAACTTTATCTTCAGAACATTTAAAAATAGGTCCATCTTGAAAAGAAGATATAAAATATCAGCTGTGCTTTTGGTACGTAATTAACATGTGCCTATGGAGGTGTAATGACTTCTAGTCTAACGATATTATTTATGGTAAGGAGTTCAGATGGTAAAAATCAGAGCTACAGCTGGGTGACATATTTTTAAATAATTCAAAGTGACTCTGGCATAGAAAGATTACTATTTTAGTCCTTCATAACCCCCTTTAGCCAGCAGTGAGAGGTGAAGGCAGCGGCAAAAGATCCTTTTTAAAACGCTTCGTTTGTTCCCTTTGTTACAGACTTGACCTATGCGCACCATTAAAGGGTGAAGGAACTTCATCGTTGGCCTTTTTCTGAGATGGCTCAAGGTTCAGTAGTCCTTGCTTCTGATTATCTGTTTTGGATGCGGAAGCTTTCTGAATGGGGCCAGGCCTCCACTTTGGAAACCCAGCAAGATACCTGTCTGCACCTGCCTCAGTTCCAGGAGTTCCTGAGGCAGATGTATGAAGCCTTGAAAGAGATGGTAAGTGGTAGACGAAAGTAATGAAATTATTTTGTGACATCAGCACTTGTGGTGTTGGATTAAAAAGACAAATTACGCATATGTAATACAATTGCTGGTTTCCTTGTCTCTGGCTTAATATGACATCCGTTTTTTCTTCTTGACTAGTTGTATTGTCACAAGAGACTTCCTGACCAAGCAGATTGTTTTTGAAAAAACAAGATTTTGATGCTTGTTGTCAGGTAATAAATGGGATTCTTTTGAAGGCCTTTGCGTCCATAAACTCTTGAAGAGTTTGTTGAAATGCTTACCCTTTTCTCAACCCTGTTCTCAAAGAGCTCTCCTGAGAGATGATAAATATTAAGATCCCTTCTTATAAATATTTAAAATGATCTTTTCTGATAAACATGTAGAATTTTGAGTGTCTTCACTATTGTTACATAATTTGTTTTCAAAATTTGAATATATTTTCCTTTTGACATACTACTACTTTTATTGTAATAGATATTTTTATGACTTAGCATGTTTTCATATCATGAACATATTATTTGTTTTATATTAATTTTTAAATTTCAAAATTAAAAGCAAAATTGTCACTTAACATAGATGTTCTTGTGTTATACTTCTCTTTCCTTAATCAAAGAAGCAAGTAGGAAATTTGAAGAATAATTCATGTGATAATATGAGTTCATATGTCTTTAGAATCTAGAAGGAAGGGTAGTCTATATGAACAACGGTGCTAATTTGTCAGTTGTTTTTTGTAATAAGACTATGTAGCTTGACCTTAATGTGATCCTAGAAAGTGTAGGACCAGCCTCGATGCTGAGACAGATGTGAGGAACTTACCGCTGCGGTAGCAGGAAATGCTTGTCGTCTCAGCTTACCTGCACGTTATCTCAGTTTGGTCTTATTTTTGAACTTTCATGAAAGGTAAAGAAGTGGGGAAAATGCCAGTTGTACAACAACATGTGTATCTGTTAGTCTTAAGCTGTTTTCTATTTGGTTGTTCTTTTTTTTGTCTCGGGGTTTAGGTTGTTGTAGACTAAGTATGATGTCATTTAGCATATACTAATCAAAATAATAACAAACAGATATATATCTTTATACCTTGGCTGCTTTTATTTCTTTTTAGAAGTTCCAGAGTTCTTGACCTTTTAAAACTTCCTTGAAATAGCCTTACTGGAGCTGAGTTAGGAACCTCTCTTGCTATGTTACAATAAAATCCAGGATGAGGATATGGGATTATATAGTTCTTACTAAAATTTTTTATTCTTATGCAGTCTTTGTTATTTTTAAATAAAGTGGCCTTTCCTGACAATTAAGTATGAATAAAATTAAATTAATTTTGAAACAAAATTTATTTTACGTAATTATGTCGTACATCTTAGTTTTGGTGAATTGGTTTAGGGATAAAGTCAGGTATCTGGTTTCTTGTTTGAATTACTTACCTAAAGATCTTCTGTAATCCTCTTTTGCCTGCCTTTCTAGAATATATACTAAACAAGAAACATTCAAGCTCCCTCGACCTATAGTGTCAATTCAGTCTTTCTAAGTTGCATAGTACCCTTTTACTGACCAAAATATAATTTTCTTTTACAGGATTCTAATACAATCATTGAAAGATTTCCCACAATTGGTCAACTGTTGGCCAAAACTTGCTGGAATCCTTTTATCTTAGCATATGGTAAGAATCCAAAGCATGTCCTTTAAACATACAAACTTCTAATGACAGTTTTAATCTTTGCATTGTTTGACAAAATACAGAGGTTTAAATTATAAACCTTTCTCCTATTTTTCATGGAACAACTTATCAAATGTATTCATTGTTCCATTACAGAGATGGCATCCTTTATTGTTGCCTGTATATGTCTGTGTGTTTTTGTATAAATAAACACACATGCATATGCAGATCTGTAGGAAAACAGAGCTCTTTGTATTAAAGGGCAGAAGCCCGCAGATGATTTAAATATCTATTTTTGTCTGTAATCACTTTCATAACCTCATTTTTAATTCAGTTTAAATTGGTTATACTAATGATACTGAGTTCATTTCTGTGTTTCATAGTTTCGTATTAACTCACATACTGTTTCCCATGTTGTAAAGTCATTCTTCAGAGTTTGATTCCTGCCATGGCTTTGCCATTATTTAGGGCAAATAGATAATGACACTTTGGTTTTATCCAAGGTGGAAAGGAATTTGGGGACACTCCGGGGGGGTGTTCTTCACCCACCTCCTACCTGCCTATCCAGGCTCATTTCCTGTTCTCTTCGCCGCCGCTGTGCTCCTTGCATTGTAGCCAGGGCCTGTTACTAACAGCACCTGAAGGAACTTGAGTCCTTGTGCCTCTACTCTCAGATTTGTCCTCTCAAGTCTTCTTTGAAACAGCCTTACTGGGGCTGAATTAGGGACCTCTCAGTGTCCCCATAGCCTCCCTTTAATATAACACTTATTCTACTGTCTGATGCCGGGGAACACCAAATGTCTCTCTGGGCTAGTGTAGGGGCTGCAGGCATGTCTGAGGGAGCACGCTTGAGACTTGTTACCTTGGATTGACTACATTATTAGCTAATATAATATTTTCATATTTTTAAGAAATTTTAATATTTTTTTAAATTAAAAAAATTTTTATTTTAACATTTACTTGTGGGATACACATTCATTTGTGGGATACAGTGTATTGTTTCAATATATGCATATACTGCACAGATTCACTTAGCAGAGTTTTGTACCCAGTGGTCCACCAGTTTTCCTTCTCCAACCATCCATACCCCCTTCTCTGCTAACCATTATTCTACTCTCTACTTCTATGAGAACCACTTTTTTTTTTTTAGATTCTACATATGAGTGAGATCGTGCAGTATGTGTCTTTCTGTGCCTGCCATAACTTCGCTTACATAACAGTTTCCAGTTCCATCCGTGTTGCTGCAGCTGACAGGATATCATTTTTTTAATAGCTGGGTAGTATTCCATTGTGTGTCTGTACCACAGTTTTTAATCCATTCGTCTATTGATGGACACTTAGGTCGATTCCATCTCTTGGCTATTGTGAATAGTGCTGCGATGAACATGGGAGTGCAGGTGTCTTTTTTGATGTATTGATTTCATTTCTTTTGGTTATATACCCAATAGTGAGACAGCGGGGTTGTAAGGTAGATTTTTTTTTAGTCCTGCGAAGACC